AGTGGACAAGATGGTGTAAATACATGGTTCATTATCGCGTACCGCTTAAATCAGAACGAGTGCTTACTTTTCAAAATCAGGATGTGCAACCTTAACCATAAACATGGTGTGCAACCTAAACATATAGGTTATTCTAGTTCGGTCCGACTTTGATCAGGTTTGATCTTGTGCTGTGTATAAACTAGTCAGGTTTGATCTTGTGTTGGTTCTGTGTATCAACTAGTCAGGTTTGATCTTGTATTGTGTATCAACTAGTCAGGTTTGATCTTGTGTTGTGTATCAACTTGTCAGGTTTGATCTTGTCTTGTGTATCAACTAGTCAGGTTTAATCTTGTGTTGTGTACCAACTCAACTAGTCAGGTTTGATCTTGTGTTGTGTATCAACTCAACTAGTCAGGTTTGATCTTGTGTTGTGTATCAACTTGTCAGGTTTGATCTTGTGTTGTGTATCAACTAGTCAGGTTTGATCTTGTGTTGTGTATCAACTAGTCAGGTTTGATCTTGTGTTGTGTATCAACTAGTCAGGTTTGATCTTGTGTTGTGTATCAACTAGTCAGGTTGGATCTTGTGTTGTGTATCAACTTGTCAGGTTTGATCTTGTGTTGTGTATCAACTAGTCAGTTTGGATCTTGTGTTGTGTATCAACTAGTCAGGTTTGATCTTGTGTTGTGTATCAACTAGTCAGGTTGGATCTTGTGTATCAACTAGTCAGGTTTGATCTTGTGTCCAGTCTATGTATATACTAGTCAGGTTTGATCGTGAGTAGCATTGTTTCCCGTGATGCCAGAGTTGTTGTGAGCAAGAGAATCAGTAAAACGTGCTTTAAGATTTACAAAAGTAGCTATTTCCGACATTATATTTTGAATTTTTATTAAATGTAGTGATGGTATAAAAGAAAACTCTTAAGTCAATTAATATATTAATAAAATTAGATGATAAATATTGCTGTTTTTGCAATGTTTAATTTAAATCTCATAATAATAATTAATTTAATATAACATATCTTTTCATTGAAAGCTCATAGACTTTCATAACAAATTGCGAGTAAAGAATAGATACAGAATAGAGATACGCAACATTTTCACGGTTTAAGATTTTACTTAATAAACACAACATAACTAATATGACAATGCCTTCGGGTAACGTGCTAATCTATAATATAATCTATAATATAAGCGGGCTGTGTCTGTCCTTCCTTCCTTCCTTCCTTCCGTCCGTCATCGCTATAGATTTTGGGACTATAAAAATAAACATTCGCACCATGCTGTGCTTTTCAGTGCACCGCAGTGTCTTATTATAAGTAATAGAGTAGGGTTTGTTTATATAGCGGCATAGAGCAATTTTATAAATGACACTGTGTTTACTTTTTTGCATAACGTTATGAAAATATTAAATATTCGCACATTGCTAAAACATATTAAAAAGATCAATGTCAAATATCATTTTAGTTTATATTCCTAGAAAAAATGGATACATTTCCATAAAAGTAGGTCGAAAAAACTAATTAATTCAACTTTTTTTTTTGGTAATTTTTTTCAAGGGAGGTAATTTGAAAATATATTTAACTCAACAACAATTTAAGTTAATCTTTTTTGTATTACTACCGCATTGATTAGTATATGTTAATGTTCATAATTAAAAGAGAAAAATGTTAAGATTATTTATATTATTTATTATTTTTTTCTAATTAGTCTATGATTTCTCTAAAATCTTTTTGCTTTTGTTTTTCGGTGTTATGAAAACAGATGGTGAAATTAGACTTTTTGAAAATAATGGAAAGGCTATCTCTGTACTAGACATCTTTATATATATATATATATATATACATATATATATATATATATATATATATATTTTTTTTTTTTTTTTTTTTTTTTTAGGAGTAACGACCTACGACGCGATGAAAGAACATAACATTAATGCACCAGTCTGAACTCTAGAAAATCACTGATAACTGAATATTTTCATAAAGCACGAGCGCATCATAGATTCCCGTAACTGCCTCATGCTCTTCAACAGTGGAGAAAGTAGCTTAATATACATATTAATATCATAGAAGCTTTCCTTATGATCTCAGATTGGTTATATATTTTTCATTAAAGTAGAAATGACCGTGAGATATCTCATCTCTATAACAGGTTCCTGGCTAAGACAATATATATATATATATATATATATATATATATATATATATATATATATATATATATATATATATATATATATATATATATATATATATATATATATATATATATATATATATATATCGAGCAAATCAATACAAGAGTAGATTTGGCCACAAGGCTTTAACCGAATGCTCTCTGATTTAATCTATTTTTCTTTAGTTCTCAGCTAGCAAATGGCTGGGGCTAAAATACCATAAATATTGATAACCAGTGTGGGTAGAGTTTGTTGCATTAATTTTTTGAAAAGTTTTAACACTGGAGGGGGGGAGGGGGGGGGGGTAAACGCTTAAACGATCAAATAACAATTTAAAATCACTTCAAACTTTTAATCTTGCCAACACCAATATAGTAGGTCCATGTGTTCGACTTATTATCCCCCCCCCCCCCCCACTACAGAAAACCTGCGTGGCAAATCTACAGGTAATACCAAACATTCTATAGATTATACTTTATTCTAAAACTGAAAACAATAAATCATAATGAACAGTTTGATTTCATCAGCATTTTCAATGTTCAACACAGCGATGTGTTAATATACGAAGAGAAAAACTAACGGAACCAATGCAACATCTACTCTGTTGATATTATATAGTCTAGATCTAGATCTTTCTGTTTGTGGCTGGTGCCTTTCATTTTATTTTATCTAGATCTGATTAGATTAACCCACTAGATTTAACTATTCAATTAAAATAAAATTGATTTAATTTGTTTCGGCTTATGGAGCTAAATACTTCTAAAGACGTGCTAGTACATATTTCAATAGTATATTTAAACATCCACCTAATGCTAAATAAGTTTTAAAAATTCAACCGATTTATTTACCACTTAAACCTACAGGTTTTACTTTGAAAATCTTTCATTAAAAAGATGGTAAGAATAGAATGGCGTCTTTTGACGAGACGAAGTACACATATCAGTTCATTTGCAGTAGATGGTAGTCAAAAAGGTGCTTGCTTTTCTAGTCATGGTGCGTATCCAAAATCATGTAGAGTAACGTGCCGAATATTATATTAGATATATTATTTTATTTCTTGGCCGATTTGTTACCTTCTCAAACTACCAGAAACACATCAGCTCTTTTGTTGAGTGGAATTCATTGAGAGCTAGAACCTACCTATAGAGGCAAACTTGGCAAAGCTAGACTTTTGGAATAATTTCCATCTGAAGGGTTGTCAGGAGGCTGAGTAATCCAAAAATATGGTAGAAGATTATGAATTCATTGTTTATTTGGCTCAAAATATAATATTTTATGAATGGTGGAAATCCTACGAAGGGGTTGATTTTTCACGATAGCCGCCATTGTCATAGTTACCAAGATTTTTCCACCAATTTTTACTTTCTCTTATACAGAGTATAGAGAAAGTATTGTAATCGTGCACAAAAATCACATGAAGTTTTGACAGTTTTCACCGTTTTACTCTTCAGTCCTTCATAACATACGGGATATACAGGACTTATTTTAATCGGGCAAAAATTAAAAATCTAGATTTATCAAAATGTTTGTGTTTTATGCATAATGGAGTATCCAATTATGTCCGCGTGTGTGTGTGTGTGTGTGTGTAAACACGATAACTTGAGTACCGTAACAGCTAGGTTAATGAAATTTCATATACAACTATTATATCAAAATCGTAGATCCGAAAAAACTTTTGTGCGCTTTCCGATAAACGGAAGTGGAACTTTTTCTACTTTAAATTTTTCAAAAGCCTATAACTTGAGTACTATTTCAGATAGATAAATGAAATTTCGCATGTAAGTAAAATATCAAATACCCTGCCTTCTTTCGAATTTTGAGCGATTTCCGTTGACCAAAAGTAGTAATTTACGCCATTTCCAATTTCTCAGAAAATGCATGTAAATTTATAAAGTACTCATAATATTCCGCACTATCATGCACATTTTATTTGGCGTTCACTTGGTGTGCAATTCTTTTTTTCTACGAGATTTTATTCCATTTTAAAAAGTTTAAGTATTTAAAATGGATAAAAATCATGTCTATGCTCCTAGTCGCCATCCTCTGTTGTTTCATATAAGAATGTTCGAGAAAGTTTAGGGGAGATCACTCCCGGTTTAATTTAGTGGAAACACGTATGCAGATGTACTGTAAAACAGCTATAGAGAAACAATTGTTTCCTAACGAGTATTAAAAAAGTTTTTTTTTAACAGAGCCTACCCCTCCCCCTTCAATTGATTTGTTATTCGATCAAATGATTATATACGAGTTATATAAATTACTGCATTCTTTCACCATGAGGGTTAACAATTGATATTAAATTGAACTTCTGAATTAAGTAAATGTAAAATATAGTTATCGATTTCGAAATAAAATATTTGTAACCGTCCTCAAGGGTCCACTATGAATAAACGTAATACCTAAAAGTAATATAGCACACAACCAAACTGGTGCTAACAATTCAACCACAAGCCAGAAAGAAAGAATGAAAGGAAAAGCAATTTATTGCAACTTTAAAAAAGACATTCTAGTCTGTAAGAGCAATGTCTTATTGATCAGAGTTTCTTCCAGGCATCTCCCCCGAACGAAATGGAATTTATATAGAAAATATATACTTTTGACAGTGTCCGCCCCCCGGAAATTGTTGTCCGCCCGCCCAAAAAATTTTAAGTGCACCCCCGGAGAAAAAAGTCTGGAAGAAACACTGTTATTGATACGCTTACTTCAATGAATTAACTCTGAAAAGAACTGATTATTTTTTAAATCGTAAATTTGGAAAATAAACATTTTCTATACAACATTTGTATTTTGCAGAGCAAATACTGTAACTTTATTTTAATTAAAAGAAGAGAAGAACAACTCCGCCGCCTAAACACCACCAGCCTAATTTACTTTGACTTACAAAGCTCATTAGTGACACACGGTTGAGGCAACACTGGGATTCTCACCTAAACTTAAGACGGCTGCTGACTTAAGTTTATCTGTTCATTCTCCACTAGCTTCAGTCCTTCTTGTACCAGTTTCAGTTTTTCCAAAAGATTATTTTTGGCGTCAAACGTTCCCTCTCCTTCTTGTACCAGTTTCAGGCTTTCCGAAAGAATATGTTTGAGGTCAAACATTCCCCCTTCTTGCTGTGCTTGTCCTGCCTGTTCCATTCCTCTGGGAATCCTTTGAGGTCCGCGCTCCGTGTCTTGCCTCTGTTGCAGCAGATCTTCAAATCCCTTCTGATGATTGCGTTCTATTTCCTTCCTCTGTTGCTCATCGCGTTTTAAGTCCTCAATCTGATTTTCATAATCCTCTCTTTGATTTTTCAGCTCTTTATCGAATACCTGTTTCATTTCTTCTTCCTGTTGTCGACTTTGTTGTATTTCTTCAATACATCTGCGAGAGATAGCGCTTTCACCAGAAACCTGTTTTTGTAGAGAATCCAAGGTTTGAGTAAGTTCTTGAAGAGCTCCAGAAAATTCTTCCTGCTTGGTCAGTAAGACCTGGACAGTATTGGTTTGACTCAACATCTTGTCAAGTGTGACTAAGTCTACTGTCTCATGTGAGACTTGCGGCTGGTCAACAACTGGACGTTCTTCTTTGACCGTGGTCTCGCCGTTTGTCGTGAGCACCTTTGGTTTGGCTGCCACATTATCTTTGATTTTCTGAGCCTTTTCATAGTGAGCTTCCGTATAACGTCGATCGCGAAATCTCAACTCATCAACCATTTGAATTAAATTATCAATTTGTTCTTTTTTCTTTTTCTCGTCTTTGGTTTTATTATCAAACAAAATCACCCTATTGCAACACTCCTCGAGCAAATCCTTAAAGAAGCCATCTTGTTTTTGGCACCAGTCTGAGAAGTCCAATCTTACTGAATCTGTTTCTTTCTGATCTTGATGAAAAACATCTCCGCATGTCAAGATCAGACAACAATAATTACTAACAAAATCATCTCCGAATATTTTCTTTAACAACACAACCGTCTCCTGTTCTTCACGTGTGAACCTATTGCCGTATTTCAGGATGAGAAGAAAAGCATGATAGCCTTCAGGATTGGCTGCCAGAGCCAATTTTGCTGCCTCATTCAACTGCTGAACTGACCGTTCATTATCCAGCCTTGTGTCACAAAATGCCAGACCATCCACGACTTTAATCTGGCGACCGTTCTGTTCTGAGATATCGGCGTCGAACTCTTTCGTCACAGAAGATGTACCGGACTCGCTCGCAAACTTTCGTTTCCCTAAAATGGAATTTCCAGTCGCACTTTTGCCATTCCCGGTTTTTCCAATCAAGAGCAGATCGATCCTAGTTTGTATGTTCATACTTTTCTGGAAACAGAGAAGCAAAATATCGGATAGCTGTAAAATATAAACATATGTAGCATAGCATCCATCAAACGTAAGGTATTTATTTTATCCAGTTCAGCTAAAGTTGAATGCATATCTGACACCAGGGGAAACAAGAATTCTATGTTTGACCAAAACTCGATAGCCCTACTAAAAGTTGTTTTTTTACAACAAAAAGATGGAGAAAATATACCTTTTATTTCTGAGTACTCATAATTTGTAATAATTTTTTTTTACCATTATACCATTATAAATCTAATATTTGTTATATCTTTCTTTATTCTTAAAATTTCAACTAAACAGTAGCATATTTTGCAAACAAAATGTATCTATGACAATAAAGTCAAACTTTTGATCAGTACGGTATAGTTCTACTTATATTCAAGGTAATGTAATTATTTCACTACTAGAAACTATATTCGATTAATTTCTAAATCCAACAACCATTGGTAGAAACTAGATCTTAGTCTGTTTCATAATGGGGTGGGGGGGTTGTAAAAATTTCACCATCAATATAACAAAAATCTATCACTGTCTTATAGTACGCTCACAAGGCAGCTGAGGCATAAATTCTAGGGAAAAAAGTAGCGAGAGTTTTAGATAAAGCAAACAAGTAGCTTTTAAAATATTTGCTTGATTACTTTATTTTTCTAAAATAATAACATTAATTTTAAAATGCTATTGTAGAATATATAGAGTTTCCTCTCATATTTGTTCAGTTAAAACATTTAGTGACAGCAAATAGGAATAGCACAATGTTTTCACTCCTGCAAAATTTTTATCTCCTGAGAAAATAGTTTTGAAACATGATCATTAACTTGCGATCTCTAAAAGATCTACACATTCCGTGGATACCTCTCAAGCAAAAAACTAACCAGTTAACCGTCGTCAAGCAATTGATAGTTTATAATCTTTCCATCTCCCTTTTTATATTAGTTAGGAAACATTAGTTATATATATATATAAATGTCTAATCTACAGTCTAGGCTGACTCAACATGTGAAATTGGAGATGAATGTATATTGAAAGTTACGAAATCGTTGAATTATAAGTGGTTCGAAATTAAGTTACCATATTTAGTAAAAATGCTGTAAAATAATATTTGAGCCATCAGTATCATACTTAAATATATATCACTTTACATGCTTCTCAAAAAAAAACCAAACTAAATTATAAAAAAAGAACGCTTATACAGACTTACCTTCAAATTTTCTTCATGCCCTACAGTATGTGGTCTGCTATTATTTATCCTGCAGCCATCTATGTATATAGAAGAAGGGGCATTACTATATATATATATATATATATATATATATATATATATATATATATATATATATATATATATATATATATATATATATATATAACAACACAAAAGTAAATAAAGAAAGCATTAGGATATAAAAAAATTACTTTAAAACTTAATTATTAGTCATTATTTATAAAATTGTATAAAATAAAGATTGTTGCAATAGAAAATGAAAATGCGTTCAAATTCACTATTATAGTATTAATATAAGTACAATCAACATCGATGAAAACTTTCATAATTTTGTCAAACAAAATCTTAAAATCAAAATAAATTAGTTTAAAAATAAAATTGCAAGATCTAGGTTCAAGCAATATTTCAATTTTTTAAATAGAAAACGCTTAACTAATCATCTAATTGAAAAAAATAATGAATTTATGTGGGAATGAATTACAAACCCATTAAATGCAGAGGTTAAGAAACAAATGAACTCTTTGTTATCCGCCCTATCGGTCTTTCATTCTCAAAGAGGAACTTTACTTCTTTTGGTGTTTTCAAAGTAATATTTATATATTCCAACTCGTATTTTTTTAATTATATGCGAAAGTTAGATACAATATTAGCTTGACCGTCCCCGCGATATCCAGGGCGCCAAATCGCACCCTGCCGTGACGCCGCCCGTGCGAAATTGATTTCTTTTTTCCCCGGAAAATTCCCCAGTAGTATTCTTAACAACTTCCCAAAGTTTCATGGCTATCAGATGAAAGGTGTAGTATTGCATAAAAGACAGACTAACAAATTGAAAAACAAACACACACACATACATTGCATTTTATCTTCGTGTTATTAACTTCCATATGTATATATATATATATATATATATATATATATATATATATATATATATATATATATATATATATATATATATATATGGAATTTAATAGCACGATGACGAACTCACCCCACAAGCTACAACAACTGACGTTTGTATAACCACATTTATTTTAATAACAGTGACCATTATTTTAAAAACGGCAGTTAGACGATAGTTAAATATGTCACAAAAATTAAGGTGGAAAGTTTGTCCTCTCTCGGCTCATATGAGTAAAACAATTATGTAAAATGTCAAAGTTGTGTAATCAAATATTTAAACCCTACCTGAAAGGTTCTTGAATAAACTTTCCTTTGATGATGAGGCAGAGCTTACGTCGAACTGCCGGTCAATTGAATTGGTCTTTTCACGATCCTCCGATACACCGAACTTTACTGCATGGAAAGAAAAAAGAAGGAAATTGATTAAATTGGTCACTTTTAATGTTGTGAACATCTAATAATATCAATCTAAGCTTTACATCACTCCCATACGTGTAAATTTAGATGGGGAAAACAGTTTGCAAGATTTTCTGGCTGCTTGCCGCACTCAGATTCGTGACTTACAGAACTACATCAATGACAGCTACATCAATGGCATCTACACCAATGACAGCTACATCAATGACAGTTACAGTAATCAAAGCTACATGTATGACAGAAACAACAATCAAAGCTACACCAATCACAGCTACAGTAATCACAGCTACGGTAATTACAGCTGCATCAATGACAGCAACAGCAATCACAGCTACAGCAATTACACCTACATCATTCACAGCTACATCAATCACAGCTACATCAAGCACAGCTACATCAATCACAGCTACATCATTCACAGCTACAGCAATCACAGCTACAGTAGTCACCAAGTTTATTGGTTGGTCTCCCAGTTGGCTTTTTACATTTTTCACAACACAGCAGATCAACCGATGCATCAAAAGCTTTGGAACTGTCAAACATGCAGCAGCCATTAAGACCTCCAACACCACTCATGCATGGTGGTCTGTTACAATATGGACGTCCGCCTGAAATGGAATTTTTCAAATTTTTCAAAAGGCTATAACTTGAGTATTGTTTCAAATAGATAAATGAAATTTCACATGTACTTTAATGATCACATTCAGTGCCTTACATCATATTTTGAGTAATTTCCGTTGACCGGAAGTAGTAGTTTTTGCTATTTCTGATTTCTCAAAAACGCATGTGAATTTATAAAGTACTAACAACAGATAACGTCTTCGATTAATAATGCATATATATATATATATATATATATATATATATATATATATATATATATATATATATATATATATATATATATATATATATATATATATATATATATATATATATATAAATGGTGTCCTGTCAGAATGGCCCGGGACAAATTGGCCTCATCAAAACGGCCCGGATAATATGACCCCGTCAAATCGACCCCCGTCAAAACGACCCGGTCAAAATGACCCCGTCAAAGTGGCCCAATCAAAGTGGCCCCGACTTATTGGCTCTCGTAAAATAGGCTCAAGTCATTTAAAAAAAGGAGTAAGACGATAGTTAAAGATGCCACAAAAATTAAGGTGGATATTTTGTCCACTCTTGATTAACATCAGTAGAAAAATAGTGTGACATGTAAAAGGTGTTTAATCAAATATTTAAACACTACCCGAGAGGTCCGTGAATGTCCTTTCATTTGATGATGAGGAAGAGCTTTCGTCGAGATGCCGGTCCAATGAAGTGTTCTTTCCACGATCCTCCGATACACCTTGCGTTTCTACATGGAAAGAAAAATAGGAGGCAATTGATTCGATTGATTTCTTCTAATGTTGTGAACATCTAATAATGTCAATCTAAGCTTTACCTCACTCCCGTACGTGTAAATTTAGATGGGGAAAATAGTTTGCAAGATTTTCTGGCTGCTTGCCGCACTCAGATTCGTGACTTACAGAACTACATCAATGACAGCTACATCAATGGCATCTACACCAATGACAGCTACATCAATGACAGTTACAGTAATCAAAGCTACATGTATGACAGAAACAACAATCAAAGCTACACCAATCACAGCTACAGTAATCACAGTTACGGTAATTACAGCTGCATCAATGACAGCAACAGCAATCACAGCTACAGCAATTACACCTACATCATTCACAGCTACATCAATCACAGCTACATCATGCACAGCTACATCAATCACAGCTACATCATTCACAGCTACAGCAATCACAGCTACAGTAGTCACCAAGTTTATTGGTTGGTCTCCCAGTTGGCTTTTTACATTTTTCACAACACAGCAGATCAACCGATGCATCAAAAGCTTTGGAACTGTCAAACATGCAGCAGCCATTAAGACCTCCAACACCACTCATGCATGGTGGTCTGTTACAATATGGACGTCCGCCTGAAATGGAATTTTTCAAATTTTTCAAAAGGCTATAACTTGAGTATTGTTTCAAATAGATAAATGAAATTTCACATGTACTTTAATGATCACATTCAGTGCCTTACATCATATTTTGAGTAATTTCCGTTGACCGGAAGTAGTAGTTTTTGCTATTTCTGATTTCTCAAAAACGCATGTGAATTTATAAAGTACTAACAACAGATAACGTCTTCGATTAATAATGCATATATATATATATATATATATATATATATATATATATATATATATATATATATATATATATAAATGGTGTCCTGTCAGAATGGCCCGGGACAAATTGGCCTCATCAAAACGGCCCGGATAATATGACCCCGTCAAATCGACCCCCGTCAAAACGACCCGGTCAAAATGACCCCGTCAAAGTGGCCCAATCAAAGTGGCCCCGACTTATTGGCTCTCGTAAAATAGGCTCAAGTCATTTAAAAAAAGGAGTAAGACGATAGTTAAAGATGCCACAAAAATTAAGGTGGATATTTTGTCCACTCTTGATTAACATCAGTAGAAAAATAGTGTGACATGTAAAAGGTGTTTAATCAAATATTTAAACACTACCCGAGAGGTCCGTGAATGTCCTTTCATTTGATGATGAGGAAGAGCTTTCGTCGAGATGCCGGTCCAATGAAGTGTTCTTTCCACGATCCTCCGATACACCTTGCGTTTCTACATGGAAAGAAAAATAGGAGGCAATTGATTCGATTGATTTCTTCTAATGTTGTGAACATCTAATAATGTCAATCTAAGCTTTACCTCACTCCCGTACGTGTAAATTTAGATGGGGAAAATAGTTTGCAAGATTTTCTGGCTGCTTGCCGCACTCAGATTCGTGACTTACAGAACTACATCAATGACAGCTACAGTAATCAATGCTATATGTATCACAGCAATAACAATCACAGCTACAGCAATCACAGCTACAGTAGTCACCAAGTGTATTGGTTGGTCTCCCAGTTGGCTGTTTACATTTTTCACAACACAGCAGATCAGCCGATGCATCAAAAGCTTTGGAACTGTCAAACATGCAGCAGCCATTAGGACCTCCAAAAGCACTCATGCATGGTGGTCTTTTACAATATGGACGTCCGCCTGAAATGGAATTTATATAGAAAATATATACTTTTGCCAGTGTTCGACGCCCCGGAAATTTTGTCTGCAACCAAAAAAAAAAGATATCAAATGCCCCCCCCCCCCCTCCAGAGAAAAAAGGCTAAAAGAAACACTGCATGTGTAAAACTCGAATATTCGAGAAAGTTAAGGCCTTATATATTTCTTAAAACTCAGCAGATTGTCCGATGTATTACCTGGAATGCGACCGTCAAACAAGCATCCATACGAACGTCCAATAGCATCCATGCACGGTGGTCTGTTGCAATATGGACGTCCGCCTGAAATGGAATTTATATAGAAAATATATACTTTTATAAGTGTTCGCCACCTCGGAAAATTTAGTCCGCCACCCGCCACCCTCGAAAATATCAAGTGCCCTTCTCCCACCCCCACCCCCCGCTCATATTTGTAAATTCGAATTACGTAAGATCGTGTAATATTTCATAAAATTTTTGACTAATCTTTTAGAATCCATTTAGAAAACCATGTAATAGACAGAAACTACCTCAAGTTTTTTTTTACTTTAAAATGAAACTAGGTTTCTCTCTTACTATTGCAAGTAAATAATTTCAGTTCATTAATAACTGAGATGGAAATAGTGTTTGATTTTTATTTTCAGGTATATACGACGAAGAGGGAAGTGCAAAAAAAATTGTGTTTGTAAATCTCGACGTTTTACACCTCTCTGAGTCGAAAAAACATAGCTTTGCAATCTTGTCCGTATGTCTGTGTGTGTGTGTAAGTGTGTTGTGTATGTGTGTGTGTCTGTTCGTCTGTGTGTGTGTGTGTGTCTGTAAACACGATAACTTGAGCACCGTTACAGCTAAGTTGATGAAATTTCAAATATAAGTATTATATCAAAATCGCAGATCCGTGTAAACATTTCAGCAATTTCCGATAACCGGAAGCGTAACGTTTTCTACTTTCAATTTTTCAAAAATCTATACCTTTGTTCTATTTCAGATAGAAAAATGAAATTTCACATGTAAGTAAAAGTTCAAATTCTCTGCCTTCTGTTAAATTTGGAATAATTTCCGTTGAACGGAAGTAGTAACTTTTGCTGCTATTTCCGTTTTCACAAAAACGCTTGTGAATTTATAAAGTAAGCCTACTAATAATAATTCTGCAATATTATGCACATTTTATTTGGCGTTCACTTGGTGTGCAATTCTTGTTTCTAGAGATTTTATTCTAATTTTAAAAAATAAAGTATTAAAATGGATGAACAATCATGTCTGTATCCCGAGTTTCCATCTCATGTTGTTTTATGTAAGAATATTGGAGAAAGTTTAGGCCTATTATAATTCTCAAAACTCAGCAGATTGTCCGATATATTACCTGGAATGCATCCATTAAACAGGCATCCATACGAACGTCCAACAGTGTTCATGCACGGTGGTCTGTTACAATATGGACGTCCGCCTGAAATGGAATTTATATAGAAAATACATACTTTTACAAGTGTTCGCCACCTCGGAAAATTTAGTCCGCCCCCGGCCCCCTCCCCCCTCGAAAATATCAAGTGCCCCCCCCCCCCCCCCCATGCAAGATCGTGTAATATTTCATAACATTTTTGACTAAACCTTCAAAATCCATTTAGAAAACCATTCAATAGACAGAAACTACGTTAGCTTTTTTACTTTCTCGTATATGCGAAGTATAGAGAAAGTCTTGTAATCGTGCTAAAAAAAAATCGAGATTTTTACAAATCTCGACGTTTTACACATCCCTGAGTCGGAAAAGCATAGTTTTGCAATCTTGTACGTATGTCTGTGGGTTTTTGTATGTGTGTGTGTGTGTATGTCTGATTATGTGTCTGCGTGTGTCTGTTACACGATAACTTGAGTACCGTTAAAGCTAAGTTGATAACATTTAATATTTAAGTATTATTTCAAAATCGTCGATACGTATCAATTTTTGAGCGATTTCCGATAAACGGAAGTGGAACTTTTTCTACTGTCAATGTTTCAAAAAGACTATAACTTGAGTACTATTTCAGATAGTTAAATGAAATTTCACATGTAAATAAAAGATCAAATTCTCTGCCTTCTGTCTAATTTGGAATAATTTCCGTTAAATAGAAGCAGTAATTTTACTTACATACATATTTGAATATATATATATATATATATATATATATATATATATATATATATATATATATATATATATATATATATATATATATATATATATATACATTCATCGCCTACTCTTTTCCTCTTGCCCACTAAGCTGTTAATTTTTATAGTTTTATATACAAAGGCGGCGATTCGCATTCACATAAAGTATTCATGATTTAGCGGCCTAAGGTTCTCTTCCGCAGTCGACAATCTGTTGTCGTTGATGCTGTTCTTAGAGCAAACCTTTCTGAACTGTCTTTGTAGAAGACACAAGGTGAAGCTTCAAACCTCTCAATGTATTACATTTTTCTTTTAAAAAACACCAACCCTAGCATTCCCATTCTCGGGTAGCGATACTGCTCTGTATGGGAACCACTGGTGTGGGTTAAGCATGTATGTATCCTTAAAGTAAAACTATGGTAATCACAGCACTAACATCTTTTAAAACACAAGTTGAAAATATATACGAATGATCACTAATGCTTAGGAGCCTGATGTGGTCACTTTGATTCGAAGCAGTTAAATAATAAAGTGGGAGCATGGAGGAGAGAGATGGAAGAAGTGCAGGCTACTGGCAAGACCTGGCATGAATTAAAGTGGCGCGCCCAGGACAGAGTGGAATGGCGAAGATGTGTTGCTGCCCTTTACTCATCAGGGAGTGACGAGGATTAAGCAAGTACATTATAAACATTATAATTTAATTTTCAAAATCTATTTGTAGAAATTAAACTATAGGCTACCTGGTACCATTTTTGAAGAACACTTTTCAGCTTCTCGTCAACACAACAAGATTTATCTGTTTAAAAAAATTAAGTAGATTTTAATGTATTACTTTAAATATTTCGCACACCTAAGAATAAAGTATTAGTAATTTGTGCTTCGCATTACTGTCGTTTGTAGTTTCTAAATGGGGAAAATATTTGGCAACTTTTTACATTGGCGAAATTGCACGCTTTAATACTCAGACAAACACAACCATAGATAAAACAATTAGAGTTTCTTTCAGGCATCTCTTCGAAGAACGTCTACCGCTCTTCATTGAACGAAATGGAATCTATATAGAAAACATATACTTTTACCAGTGCGCCCGTAAAATGTTGTCCGCCAATGAGAAAATTCCCCCACCCCCCCGGAGAAAAACGTCATTTAATATCTTCAGCACTAGATTTCGAGAACTTATACTGTCGCTGCAATAAACCAGTTCTGATGGGTATCTGACCCTATTTACGGTCACGTCATATGCCTAAGTCACATAAATAGGTGAACTCTACTCCACCTGGACCACCAGATTTGAGAGAGCATATTTACTTTCAATGTTGTGCAAGATTACGACTAAAACAAGATTATCCCGACTCCTTAGGGTGCACTACAGCTCACTTGGTAACGTCTTGTTGTATCTGGATTGGTCTACTGTAACAGGCACGTGGAACTCTATGTCCTGCTTGCAATCTAGCATAGTGCTCTAGTTGATTTCATGTGCAGTATCTAAACTTAATACTGAATTACTATATCCATATGAGAGAATCACTGTTTGCAGGCGTGAACCAAGTTGTTTTATGTACAAATAGAGAAAAGAAGAACTTTAGTGAGAATCAAAACTTAATACGTTACCTGCTCAAAGCAATATATTCACATTCCTCTTCATTAACATAGCTAAAGGGTTCTTCCCATTATGATCAAAATCACCTCACCAAATCATCGTATCTGTCTATACATGTTGCAAAGTAAGAGAGCTTTTACAGTTTAAAATGATGTCCTTTCAACCCACCGCATACTAGTATACACAATTCTTTGAAAAAAAAGCAAGATATTTATAAAAGTGATAAAATAATGTATCCAAAGTTTTTCTAGCCCCACCCCCCCCCCCCCTTTTTCAGCCTGTCATCTCTTTAAACAGATACATCATCATTAAAATAGTTGAAGACCCCCCCCCCCCCCCCACAGACACGCATGGTAGAATAGTATGCACGTGTCTACACAATTTAGGAAAATGTTAAATGTGAAAGCTCGGTAAACTGTGCTGTCTTAGCACATCCACCGCTCTGAGCTTAGCACATCCACTGGCTCTGAGTTTAAATGAAAACTGCGGTTTTCTATGTTTTAAAACCCGTTCAACGGGCGCGAGCGAGTTGACTCTTCCCATCATGTTGTTGACAAGGATTAAAAACGTGCTTTTTTTAGATTTAGTAAACAAAGCGACCGTAAAAATAAAAACTTAAGCTTAAAATTAATTCAGAAATTTTAAATTTTTAGAATCAATGCTATAAAAGTTGCAACTCCAGAGAACGTGAAAATAATTTGTTGAGTTTAAGGCTACATTTTTATTTATTTTCACTTTCGTAAGACAAATATTGTCTCCGTGATCGATAACTATTTGTTTACAAAACTGTGCAGAAACAGTTTTTAAAAAAACAATGCAAATTTAGACCCCTTGACATAGTTTTCCTTTGTTTTCGCTTACAATGTTTACAATAAATTTTATGGCAGCCTATCAAATAGCAGGATGAAATTGTTTATGTCGCCATTACACGTGAAAACCAAATAATTTTTGCTTTTTTATTTTTTATTTAGTTACCAAAAATATTAAAAACATCAAATACATTCAATCTTCAGTAAAGTCCGAAAAAAACCAGACTGACAGGATTGTATAACCATCATAATTGTAACTACGCCTTGCACGATTTTTAAATTAATTAATGGGCTTCTCAAATACCTTCTCGCTCGCGTCCATTAGTGATTAGATGGACAGTATTACTCAATATTTTTGGACATTTGGAAGAAGTCTGAATTACATGGAACATGAACTATAAGAAATCTGTTCAAGTTAAATATTGGGTAAAATTACGATAGAGCGTCGGTTATTATTCCGGAATTGTACAGCAGTAAAAAACAGTAAAACCATGGCGTAGTCTCCCGAGCCGTTCCGGAAACCACCGAAAATACTGTAAACCATCATTTATTTGCCGCCATATTATTTTTAATACATAATGTTTTAAAATGTGCATGGATTGATTTTGATTGCATTTTAAATACTGTTTTGCTAATTATTTTGTATTTCTATTTATTTTAAGTGTATGTGCTAATTATTGCTGCAACTGAACATTGTTCTAGTTCTTCTCTACTTTTAATTATAGTAAATCTAATCGTCTTATTTTACTAAATCTAGATGTAGTTGTCGCAAATCTTCTGCAGGTTTTTTTTTTGTTTCTTTATTAAAAAGAGATTAATTACTACACTTGACTTTATTAATAATATTCAGATTTACTAATTGTTGCTCATTTTCTGTCAATTAAACATAAAATTAAGTTAAACTTTAGTTTAATGCGCTAGAATTTATTCTTATTTCAACGGTCAAATAAACTATGGTTTACACTTACAGTAACGAATGTTCCCGAAACTCAACAAACATTACCAGATAATTTCCGACGCTATATCGTGAGATTACCAAACATCGTTTGTAAAGTTAACATATATATTTTATTACCGTGTAAACCTCTGGCCGATCGAATTTTTGAAATTTAAATGGATGTTCTCATTAATATCACTTTAAATGTTGTTCGTGGACAAGATGATGGAAATACATTCGTTCATTTCCGCGTACCGCGCAAATCAGAACTAGTGCTCCCTTTTAAAATCATGGTGTGCAACCTTAACTATAAACACGGTGTGTAATCTTAACCATAAATATAGTGTGCAACCTTAACCCTAAACATGGTGTGCAACCTTAACCATAAACGTGTAGGCTATTCTAGTTTGGTCCGGCTTTGAGCTCGCATTGGAGAATCCATGATGTTGGTGTAAAATGTGATACATATAAAAATAGCAAATCATTAAAAAAAAAACTCACCAGCAATGTGTCATTGTTTTATCTTGTGTTGTGTATCAACTAGTCAGGTTTGATCTTGTGTTGTGTATCAACTAGTCAGGTTGGATCTTGTGTTGTGTATAAACTAGTCATGTTTGATCTTGTGTTGTGTATCAAATAGTCAGGTTTGATCTTGTGTTGTGTATCAACTAGTCAGGTTTGAACGTGTGTTGTGTATCAACTAGTCAGGTTTGATCGTGAGTAGTTAGGTTTCCCATGCTCTCGGAGTTGTTATGATCAAGAGAATCAGTAAAACGTGCTTACAAATGTAAATTGCCGACATTATATTTTGAATTGTTATTAAATGTAATGATGGTATAAAAGAAAACTCTTAAGTTAATTAATATTTTAATAAAATAAGATGATAAATATTGCTGGTTTTGCAATGTTTAATTTAAATTTCATAATAATAACTTAAATAACATTTCTTTTCA